ACCACCCCCATCCTCTCCAGCAAAGCCTTTGACCCTGCGCTGTTTTTTAATTGCTTCTCTTCCCCGCCCCCTTTCACAGCCCACCGGCTCCCTCCCTTCCTCCGTCAGAAAGGGGGAGAGGTACGGGGGCCAGATGTGCGACGGGCGGGAGGAGAACAGCGGTAGCGACAGCGGCAGCAGCCTCCGTGTTATTTCCAACCCAGCAGCTCTCCAAATTAACAGGAAGGAGCGAGCGGGGAAGTTAGTGCCAGGGGGTGAGCGAGGGAGGGAGGTCTCCGAGGTGAACTGGAAAAAAGCTGCTGTGCATCCCCGGGAGTCTCGCTCACGCACCCCACCAGCCCTAGGGACAAACTTTGCTTCCCAGAAGGCAGGTCACCAAAGTCCTGACACACCAGCCTGATTCTTCCTCCCCCTTCCCTCCCCTTGCCCCCACACTCAGCCTTCCCTCTTCCCCAGCAGGTGGAGGGAAAGATGTAAAGATTCTTTAGCATCTACCAACTAGCAGCTTCAGAGCACAATAGAAAGTAGAGAGGAATCATACTGAGAATTCCTTGAGGAATGGGATGCCCTAGATGGGGGGAGGGGGTTGACTGGAAATCAAGACTCCTGAGCTTATGTCAATCAAGTAAGCCTCCTGTAATCTCCTCCATCCCCCTTCAGTGACAGCAGAGCTCCATGCTGGGTAGGATAATAGGATTTTAGAGCTAGAAGGGATTTTAAGAGATCACCTAATTCATTCCTCTCAGTTTACAGAAGAGGAAGCTGAGAGCCAGAGAAAAGAAGTGACCTGCTCAAAGTTGAGTGGCAGAACAGGGAAATGAGACCCAGGGTCTTCTGATTTCCAATTTAGGGCTTTTTTTTTTCCCCCACCACTGATGCCTCCTGGGAGGTATCATAATAGAGATCATTCACTTGACAAACTTAATTGCCCACTATGGTCTAGGCTTGTAGCTAGATGGCTGAATGGATAGACCCAATCAGGATGATTCATCTTCATGAGCCTCTGACACCTACTAACTGTGTGACCCTGGGCAAGTCACTTAACCCTGTTTACCTCAGTTTCTTCACCTGTAAAATGAGCTGGAGAAGGAAATGCCAAATCACTCTAGTATCTCTGCTAAGAACACCCCAAAATGGGGTCACAAAGAATCAGAAATGACTGAACAACAAACAACGAAATACTAGACATTCTGCTAGAACCTGAAGATAAAAAGGTCCCAAATGAGGCTGTCCCTGCCCTCAGAGAGCTTCCATTCCACAGCAGGGGGGATACAACATAAATACAGAAAAGCAAACACAAAGTACTTTCCTCCTGGGATGGGGAAGAGAAGACACTAGCTCTCCTAGAGGCAATCTATTGGAATAGGAATTTATTGAGTAGGGGAGTGACAGGTAGGTCAGATCCTTGGTATGAGAATGTCAATCTGTCAGCTATGTGGAGACTGAACTGGAAAGGGGAGAGGCTGAAGACAGGCAGAACAATTAGAAAGATGCTAAAATAGTCCAGGCAAGAGGTGATAAGGGCTGCATTAGAATGGGGGGGGTAGGGTTGGGGGAGCAGGGGACTCCGTGACAGATGCAAGATATGTTGTGGGGTGGCATGACAAGCCTTGGCAACTGATTGGATGTGAGAAATAAAGAAGAGAGAAGAGTCGAAGGTTGTTTGCTTGGTTGCCTGGAAGGATGGTGGTGACCTCCGCAGAAATATGGAAGTTAGGAAGGATGGATTTAGAGAACTGTCTCCAGAAAAGAAGGCACAGAGCTAGTCAGAAGAGGGAGCAATTATGCTGTGATGTAGGGAATGATCTCTACAAGAGCTCCGGGGTGGGAGACAGCAAGATTAGATGAGGATGTGGGATGAGACAGGGCAAGTTTGCCCAACTGGGGCACCCAGTGAATGGAGCGAGGCATCGATCAACAGATCTCACAGATGACTCTTTTTATGTGAGAACAATCCAATCTCGGAGCCCCAGAGCCACCCACAGATGCCCACTGCTGGAACTCTGCTGTCAACACAATGCCTGCTTTGCGCTTGCTCCCTTGGCCCCTTGCTAGCTTTCTGGGAGGCTTTTCAAACAGGCAGACTTTGTGGCACCAACTCATGCCCCTCACCAAGTACATTGGGAGGCGGGGGACTGTGGAAAAAGCCTTAGCATTGAAGTCAAAACACAGAAAAGTTCGTTTGTAAAGAATCTTAACACTTTTCGATTACCAAGAGTAAAACCATACCGAAGAGCTACTCCTTCAGGATTTTAACATCCCCTACTCCTGCTGCCAAGTCATGTCCTGTCTCCCGCCTCACCCCACCAATTTCACCCCACTCTATTCCACCAAAGCTAATTTCTGGCCAGATGTTCTGCTATCCTGCCACTGGTGAACAATCCTATACAATAAAGCCTCATTAAGACTAATGGGGTAAGGGAAGAGGAAAAGCACTGGCCTTTTTTAAAGAAATGGAATTTTATTACTTTCAAGAGCAAACAGTAACTGGAACTAATGGCTAACAAAAAGCTGCCAAGTGGAGGAGAGCCCAAATAAATAACTCACTTGAAATAGCATTATTTGCATACTAACAATGTTCTGAAAAATCTTTTCAGTTTTATTAAATAGGTTAAATATACCTCCTGGAATCTTGCTTGTACCATCAATTTGCTAAACAAACCCTTTCTCCATGAAAGAACAAAGGTGAGCTTCATTCCAGGCCTGGTTAAATGGCCACAAATTTTCAATCAGCTCTGCCCAAATTAATGAGATTTTTAACTAAACTGAATTAGCTGGATTTGTTTTTAGTTTGCACTTCCCCTCTCAGGTCTACTCTCTGGTGGGGGACCCTGCTATAAAGTATGAGAATCCTAGCAAACACAGCCCTGAGGGTCACTGTGGCCTAGAGTAGGCAGGCACTCAATAATTGCTTATTAACTATGGGAGCGAAGAAGGGTGATGAATAAAAAGCCTTGGAGTCTGATGAGCAGGGCTGAGTTAGTTGTGTGTCCTGCTTTTTTGCCCAGTACCATATTCTTCAAAGGAGGTAAATTCCAAGTCCATGCATACAGCTTTTTCCCCAGTCTCACAAAAGGTTCAGCATAGTACCAAAGGGGCGTCAATCTAGAACAAAAAGACAGAAAGGCAACCAGGAAGAAGAGTATAAATTGTTCTAGAAGAGACTCAGTAGAGAGGACTGAAGATAGGAAAGCAAATATTTCTAGAAACCAAGAATTCTGGAAGAGTTGGAAGGACTGGAAGACCTTGAAGACTTTTTTACTCCAATCACTTCATTTTACAGATGAGGAAATAGCCCAGGGAGGGGAACAAGTTTACCTTGCTTTTAAGTGGCAAATGAACGATTTTTTTAAAAAAATAATTTTTATTGAATTTTTTTTTGTTTTCATGTTAAATTTCCCCATATAACCCTCATTTGTCCTTTATTTTTGAAGAGGACCAATGACATCACAGGGTGATGTCTTGATTGATGCATGAATTGAATTTTAGTGAGGCAGAGTTGCACAAAGTTGTCAGCCTCACTCTCTCTCTTCCAGAGTCCAGTGACAGGACAAAAGTCATGACAACTGGCTTTGGCCCAGGGTTGCAGTGGATGACCTTGATGTTTTCAACGTCTTGCTAAGCTCTAAGCTCTCCATAGCACTTGCTTTAGCCCCCTTCATGGCCCTTGGAACAAACTATCTTCATCCAACCTTTCCACCAGGGAAAATCTTCACGTGCTTGGAGTATGCATCCCCCTAACTCATCAATGGGTCTGAGGCCTGTTGATTATCCTCAACCTAGTTTAGTTTATCTGCTGAGACAGTTTTACCAGGGTGTGGCCACTGCCCATCCTACAGTTTCTTGGAGCCACAAGTGAATGCCAGGTCGACACCAAAGGTGCACGAGCAGCCTTGAAAAGGGCTCAGCAATCCCTCATACCAAAGGTATGAATACTCCATATTTAATCGGTAAGAAAGATGTTGGGATTGAAACTTCCTCTACCCCAATGTAGATCTGCAGCTGTTCTCTGTGACTCACAGGCTAAGTTACCCTGAAGCACTGAGCTTAAGTGATTTCCCCATGTCACACAATTATCATGTGGCAGAGGCAAGATTGGAGTCCAAGGTTTCTGGATTCTAAAGTACTGGGCTTCTAGCCATAATGCTAGCTTTTTTTTTTTGGTCAAATATTTATCTAATACCTATTATATACAAATTACTGGAAATAAAATAACCTATCCTTCCTCTCAATGCACTCACAATCTAGTCGAGGTTAGAAAGACCACTGTCTATTTTCAAGTTGACCCTTATCTGTTATTCCATCACTGACTGAGCACAGCTGGTCTGTCTATAGTGCCCAACGCTGGGCAGGTATGTGGGGGGAGGTGTTTAAAAATTTACTGTCTACTAAATATTGATAGTCGCTCTTCTTGTGGTGGCAAAGAATTGGAAATTGAGGAGATGCCCATCAACTGGGGAATGGCTGAACAAGTTGTGGTAAGTGATTGTGATGGTGTACTATTGGGCTATAAGAAATGAAGAGCAGGATGCTTTCAGAAAAACCTGGGAAGTCTTATGTGAACTGATGCAAAGTGAAGTGAGCATAACTAGAATATTGTACATAGTAACAGCAATATTATCAGGATGATCAACTGTGAAAGACTACTCTATTCAAGATAATTCCAAAGGACCCACGATGAAAAATGCTATTTACCTCCAGAGAGAGAACCGAGGAACTCAGAATGCAGATTGATGAGTACTTTTTTTGTCTATGTTTTCTTCTGCAACATGGCTAATATGGCAATGTTTTGTATGACTTCACACGTATAATTGATATCAAATTGCTTGCCTTCTCAAGGATGGGAGAGGGGCAGGAGGGAGGGAAAGAATATGGACCTCAAAATTTTAAAAAATCAATGTTAAAAATATTTTACATGCAATTGAGAAATATCTAACAAGATGAAAATATATTGAACAAAAAAAAGTTTACGGTCTACTTTAGGAAGGAAAACACACACAGAAGAGAGAAGAACACTTTAATACATGTATGTGAATGTAAGCACAAGCTGATTACAATAAGAGCATGGGAGAGGAAGAGAAGGCAGTGGCAAGGAATCAGAAGGAGGTAATTAGGAAGGTGTGCTAGATGGGCAGTTGAATCGTCAGTTGGTCTTAGATGATAAAGGAGTATAGAAGGTCAAGCCAAGGTTGGGGCAGAAGGAGCCAAAGTGACAAGCACAGAAGACACATCTCATTCTCAGGACCCCTTGAAGATGGCTTTGCCTGTGCTGGGCCGGATACCAGTCTGTGGGGCTCCTCCAAACCCCAGTGCCGTGTCTTTCCGGTTCCTCTGGCTGCCTAGCCATCGGGGGCTGGAGGAGGGCTCTGGAGAGGGAAAAAAAGAGAACTATAGAGGGCCTCTGTTCCAGGGCTCCATTTTGCTCTTCCCCTTCCATTTTTATCTATCAGCTCTCTTCTTAGGGTCCTTCTAAGTACTTGGAGATTTTCATTTATGGAACTAAGAGAGGAAGGGCAGGTCTTTCACTGACTTTTTCCGCCCTTCATCTGGTACTTACTAGCCTCAGTTAAACTTTCCTACCCTCTCTGCTGCCAGTTACCTGAGACAGCAAGGGGACCTCCTGGCTTTTTCATAGTGCTGGTGTGAAGTCTGGCGATTCGACTCCGGCCCTGGGGGGCAGCCACTGTACAGGAGGCTGAGGACCTGATGAAAAAAGGAAATGGAAAGGTCAGAGATGCCACTTGCTCCCCACTAAAGTGAGGACTGAAAATCCCCACAAGACATTACCCCAACTTAACACTGAGCCCTGGGAAGGGAGGGGTAACTAGGTACTACCAACAACTTCCCAGAATCAGTGAAGAAAGGAGTGACACTGTCCAGTCATTGGACTTGGTCAGTTATGATTCACATGGAATATCTTACCCATAAAGAGAGTGACTAATCAGCTAGAAGAATGTTGATGCTCTGCAATCTGATCTTGTTTGATCAAATAGCAGGGAAAAGCCTGAACAAGTAATGGACATAGATAACTTGCCCCGAGAATCTCATCTGCATACAGGAACTTGGCTGTCTGCCAAACAAGGTGCTCCGGGGGGAGAGTCTAATCATAATCAGTTCAGATATCAGAGCCACAGGGCACAACGTTACTAGGACCCCGATTCTAACTCCTCCTTACCTCAAAGGGCATCTCCTCTTGCGAGCAGAGCCACCATGAAGGGAAGATGCTGGCTTGGGACCCTTCATGGTGAATAGCTGCATGGGACCCCTGAAGGAAAAATGAAGGTGAAGATCTTCAGATCAGAAAGGAAAAGAAAGGACTAAGCAGTTTCTGCCTTCTTGTCCACACCCTAGCCCCAGTGCTCACTGGGTGGGAGATGGGACTAGATGACCTCTAAGGTCCCTTTCAACTAAGATGCTATGATTGCTTTCTTCTCCTTCACTCCCTTTGCTGACAGCTGAGTGACAGGCCCATTCTGGGAGAACATCCAGGTGTCAGTTTGTGACATGTCCGGCGAACTGGAGTTCAAAAAACCTTTCCACTTGCCCATCTCCAAGGTTAGTTTCTGATGCAGTTAGTGCTAGAGTTGGGGGTTGGGGTGCTGAGGCAGGATCAAATCTTGTCACTGTTTGAGGGCCCCAAATTACCCCTCACTTTCTACTAGACTTAACAATCTTGGGATGCCTCAGAAACCAATCTGATCTGGGTGCTGTTCACTGGCCAAGTAAACACCCCATTTGTTTGGGTGTTGGGGGAGAGGGGGATGTCCCTTGCAGTCCTAATGAAAAAAAATCAGCTGAATAACTTTTTCTGGAGGGTGTGAAATTCCCCTCACCCTGCTTGTATATGTAGGGATGGAATTGGAAAAGGAAAATGGCAGTTGTGGCAGCGATCATGAGAGAAACAGAGTATGGTATATTGGGAAGAGCACCTGAAGGTCTGAATTCAAGCCCTGGCACCAGTACTTCCTAGCTGCATGACCCCAGAGAAGATTCTTACCCTCACCAACTGTTAATTCCTTTATCTGTAAAAGGTGGGTGATTATGGTTGAACCATTGATCTCTCAGAGTGGTAAGGAGAGCAGCTTAGAGTGACATAGAAATGTGAACTATTGCTAACAAGAATAAAAGCAGGACAGGCTGCTAAAAGGGCCACGCTGGTTTCCTTAGCTCTCCTTCCAGATTTCTGCTTCAGCTCCACACTGCCTGTCCCCGCCCTCCCCCTTCCCCTCCTAAGTTGAGGCTCCATAAGTCACCCAAGGGAATAATTAGAAACTAGTTCTTGGACAAGGGCTTTGAGACACTGGCAGCAATGGCCTTTTGCTGCTTGAAAGAAAAGAAGCCGCAAGGGAGACTGATCCCTCCAGCACACCCTGGTGTCCTGAGACTGGGGAGCAGAACAAACCAGGATGAAAGGCAAACTTGGTTGCAAGTTTCCAAGATGAATCTGTTCCTTGCTTCCAATTGTAGAATCCCAGGATCTCCGAGTTGGACGTAATCCTAGACGCCATCTTGTCCAGTGTGTAGCTGAACAAGACTATTACACATCTGCCAAGTTGGCGGCCCCTGCTTTGCAGGAGGACTTCAGATGGCATCTTCCCAAGGAGGCCCAGTTTATTGTTTGGATAGTTTTAATTATTAGAGGAAATTTTTCTTTGCATCAAACCGAAATCTGCCTTTCTGCAATTCCCACTTACGGCTCCTAAGTTTGTTCTTTAAGGCCAGGGACAACAGCAGAACAAGTGGAATCCACCTTTCACACGACAGCCCTTCACATACTTAAACAGAATTATCATATCTGCTTATAGTGTTCTATGTTTCAGGCTGAACAGTTGCATCAAATGTTCCAGGTAACATGATCTCAAGGCTACTGCCCATCTTGCCTTCCCTTCCCAGACGCTCTCCAGCTTCTTCATGTCTTTCCTATGACAGGACACCCAGAACTGAACAGAACACTCTGGCTGTGGCCTTCTCAGGGCTGAGAACAGCCCTGCTGTCACCTGGCTAGTCCTCCACTTCTCTGAATGCAGTCCAGAATCATGGCAGTTTTTCTGAGTGTCTTAGCACAACACTGACTCCTACCAAGCTTGCAATACCCTCAGATCTTTTCCCAGTGAATTCCAATCTAGCCCCATACTGTGAAGCTGATTTTTTGAAACCAAGCGTTCAGTATTTTATATTAAGTCTTATACTAAATTTCATCTCAGTGGCTTTGGCTCAATGTTCTACCCTGTGAAGATCTTTTTGGATTCTGACTGTCATCCAAGGTGTTACCTGTCCCTCTGAGGTTGGTGTCATCTGCAAATTTAATAAGCATAGCATCTCTGTCTTTACTCAAGCCATGGTCAACTATGTTAAATGGCACAAGGCCAAGTGGAGATCTTGGAGCACTCTACTAGATATCTCCCTCCAAGTAAACATCAAAGCACTAATGGTTACTCTTTGGTTACAGCTATTCAATCAGTTCTAAATACTCCAACTGTACTATTCGTAACCTCAAACTATGCTGAAAGAATTCCCCTGATGGACCAACCTAGAATCCCTGTTCAAAATGGAAATAAGAGTGGTCTGGCGTAACCTGCTCTTGATAAAGTCTCCTTGTGATCACTGATTCCTTCTCTAGACGTTTACTAACCATTCCTTTAATTAAGCTTTCTAGAATTTTGCTAGGAATTGAAATCAAGTTTGCTGGCCTGTATATAGTTTGTAGATGTCTTGTTTTCAAGAACTACATTTGTTCTCTCTAGTCTTTTTTTTTCCCCCTTGGGTGAGGCAACTGGGTTTAAGTGACTTGCCCAGGGTCTCACAGCCAGCGAGTGTTATGTGTCTGAGGCTGGATTTGAACTCCGGTCCTCCTGACTCCAGGGCTAGTGCTCTATTCACTGTGCCATGTAGCTGCCCCTGTTCTGTCTAGTCCTGTGGAGCCTTCTTCCACTATCCTCTATGAGCTCTCAAAAATCACTCAACAAACAAATCTGCCGGGTTTTTCAGTGCCTTAGGATGAGGCTCTTCTGGGCCTGGTATCTTGGGCTCAAACCTTTCTTTTTCTATCCATTGAACACCCCTGACCCTTGTGCTTTTGGTACAGGTGGTCAGAAGGGACAGGAAGAAAAGAGGCCTACCTGGGAATGAAGGGTTTATCCATCTTGTTCAAGGCAGCAGGGACATTCTCCCAGCTGAGGAATTCAGAAGCAGTGGACTTCAAGAAGGTCCCCTCAGAAAGGTCAAAGGTGGCATTGAGGTCCCGGGTAGGTAGGCTGAGAGGAGTAGAGCAGTTCTGCATAGAGGATGGGCCCAGGGGCACCCGGCTTTTGACAACAGTAGCTGAGAGAAGGTGGGGAAAGGGGGTAGTGGATGCAACCTCCATCTTGGGGGTGCTGAGTCCCGGGGAAGGCCCTGCCTGGGGCAGAGAATCTTTCCCTGCATGGGGCAAAGACTTCTTTTGCCGTTTGGCCTCCAGTTTAGAGGAAGAGTAGGTGTTCAGTTCAGGTGAGCTTGACTCATCTGATCTCCTCCTCTTCTTCTTCCTTGGAGCCTGAGAACTTTGGGGTGAGAGGGCTGAAAAAGATGGGAGCCCCAGAACGGGCAAAAGCCCACTCAGACGTCTTGCCATGGTTCGTGTTGTTGGGCCAGAATATGTTGGAGGTGCTAGACATAGAGAAGAGAGAAGTTCAGAACCTAAGCTCAAATAGGGCTTGAAGGAAGAGTCTGGAGGACAAGGGGAGGGACACAATAGAGACCAAAGAGCATTACATGTCTAAAATGTCTCACCTCCCCTATACCAGCACTTAGAGCCTTCTAGGCCCAGGCAGGGGATGTTTTTAAATGCTTTTGTCTACAGCTAACCCCACAACCACATTTTTAATTTTCCCCAACTCCGGGCTCAGTCTTCCACCCTAGCATTTCAACTGCTGCTCTGGCCACTTCAGTCACACGTGAAGGCCCCCAGTTCTTCTTTACAGACAAGGTAAGGCAGAGGCCTGGGCTGCTGAGATGATACTCACTTGATTCTGGGGATAGCTCCTGGGACAAAGGTACCCCTCCAGCTGGGCTGGGAGTATCAGCTACCTTCCCCCGTGGCACTGTCTTCTCATCTTGAACCAGCCGTTGCACTGCCTCAAACTCCAAGACCATGTCTGGGGTCAGGAGATTGGCTTCTCTGAGAAGAGAATATTGCCGCTGGGCCACATGCAGCACCATCAGGGCTAGCCTGGGTGTGAAAGAAAGGGTTATAGCATCCCCATCCTCCTCGCCTCCCCCCAACCCTAGCCTGGGTTATTGATGAGAAAGGAAATCTCAGACCTATCCCATTCGACTGCTTTCTACTTGCCAGTCAAGAATTTCCAAGTGAGATAGGGGCAGCTAGGTGGCACAGTGGATAGAGCACCAGCCCTGAAGTCAGGAGGACTTGAGTTCAAATCCGGCCTCAGGCCAAACACTTTAACACTTACTAGCTGTGTGACCCTGGGCAAGTCACTTAACCCCAATTGCCTTAAAAAAAAAAAAAGAACTTCCAAGTGAGGCCAAGAAAATTATGTCTTGGTCTCCTAGACTGACCACTATTTCGATAACTGCTTTGCTATCGACTTCAATTTCTTCCTTACCATGCCTCAATTTTTCCTTTGGCCAAGCCTATGAACTCAGTGAGAACAAAGTAACTCTACTGCTCATTATGAGGTATTGCACATAGCAAGGATTGTACATGACAAAGATACAGGTGTGGCTCACTTTATGGAACAGGTAACAGGTATGGTCCTATACAAGCAGGTTCACAGCAAATCCTATTTTAAATACATTTAAGGTTCTTGTATGAAGAATCTATCATTAAAAATCACACTAAAAAAAGTCTGCACACTAAATACATTAAAGGTTCAAGGGAAATTATGAGAATGGGTGGATTATTAATTTTCTAAAGTTATTCTGTTAGCTGCCAAATTTCCATAAAGCGACGCACAGCTGTAATGGTACTATGACTTCTCAATTAGCTGGACAGGGTTTTATGCATGGCAAATATTTTTTCTAGAGATGATTTCCACATATTACACTACACTCTTCTGGGACACCACCTTTGACATCAAATGGCTCAGGGAACAGCCTGAGCAACACATCAATGTGAAGGTAAAATTGCTTTAAAACACAAACACACACAAGTATGTGCTTGGGATAGACTATATATGTCTAGCATCTAAGAACCAGGCTAGCTGAGTTTGGAGATGCTCATCCTTAGGGTAGCCACTGGGGGATGAGTCTGGGGGGACACAGAAATTCTTTATGACCATTTACTAAGCTATAGAGTATTTGGAATAAATCAGGGTTTGGAAGTGTGGTAAAGTGGGAAGAGTATGGGCAAAAGAACAGTGATCTCAGCTTTGTCATTAACTAGCTGTGTGACCCTGAACAAGTCATGTTTTGTCTCTGAACCTCAATTTCTACATCTTTAAGTTAAGGGGATTAAGTGAGATGGCCTTTTAAGATCTTCTCCATCTCTGCAATTTCATAATTTATATTCTAAAAACAAAATGACTTTGAATTTTTTAAAAGTCAGACTTATTCAAGTCCTCCCTCTCTTTTGATTTATACACACACACACACACACACACACACACACACACAATCTTCTCCATTAGATTGTAAGCTCCTTGAGGACAGGGGTTGTTTCAGCTTTTTCTTTATATCCCTAGCACTTAGCACAAGTGTCTGGGATAAATGAATTGCTTAATAAATGCTTGTTGATTGGCTGACTGAAAAACTGAGTAACAATCTCTTCCCCTTACCTGTAATTTTTACTTTTTTTTTGGTGAGGCAATCAAGGTTAAGTGACTTGCCCAGGGTCACACAGCTAGTAAATGTCAAGTGTCTGAGGCCAGACTTGAACTCAGGTCCTCCTGACTCCAAGGCCAGAGCTCTATCCACAAGTCACCTAGCTGCCCCTACAAGTTTTACTTTCTATGGGCTTTTATGCCTATCATTTCATTTTGTCCTCTTATAAGCTCTGGGAGGTAGCTATGACAGGGATTATTTTCTCCATACTACCAGATGAAGAAACTGATATATACTGGGAATACCTAAAGCCAGGATGTGACTTATCTGCAATTCACTCAGTAGCTCAGTTGTAGAGACAGAATTAGAACACAAGGCTGTGTTTACCGGAGTACACCAATCAGGTAAACTATCCTACTGGCAAATACTTGGAGTGCTCTGTGTAGCGTGGAAGGTTGGGGGGCTCAGAGAAAGAAGGCCAAGGGAGGCATCCTGCCAGCTTGTCCCTCCCTCTCCTGAGACCCTGCAGAGCTGACAGCAGGAGACAGATAATGAGCCACTGATTATTCAGACTGCAGTGTTTTTTGCTGACTTGGGAACAGACACTCCCCAACAAGAAATAAAATTAAACAGGCCCTTCTGTCCGGAAGCTTTAAATACACTGCCAAGCGTGAAGCATGTTGGGAGGGGTCGGCAACAGGGAAGCCAAGTGGCACAGGATTGATGCACTGGAGGCCAGAAAAGAAATATTAATAGTAATAATAATACAGTCACACATATCCAGATCCTCACAAAAAAGAATCATGGCACAAATAATTCAAATCTTCTTTGATTTGGGACCGTTTTTGTATTTATGCTTAAATAAATGCACTCCAGACATCTGGGGAATCCAAAGTCAATCCAAATCCAATCGTGAAGCCACGGGGTGAAGACCTGAATCAAGAGGAACTAAAAAGTTGTCCATCTCTATTCCCAACTTCATGCTGAAAACAGACAGTACCACTCCCCAGCCTAAAAAGCCAAGTACTTGGAATCAGAAGGACCTGAGTTCAAATCTGGCCTCACACACTTATTAGTGGTGCAATCCTGGGCAAGTCACTTAACCCTGATGGCCCCCTCTCCCCTCCCCCCCAAAAAACAACAACAACATCAAAAAACCCTAAACAAACCAAAGCCAAGTACTAGCCTAAGCAGAATAGTCCTTGCTCTAAACTTGCTATCTTTCTGGCTCATACCTTCCCAGCGGACAGAGAAAAAAATGCAGTGTTTAGATTACAGAAGCCCTCTCCTTTCAGCACATGAGACGTATCTTGCTGGGCTGCAGGCTCCGTGGAAGAGTGAACATAAATAAAGATGGTGAGACGTAAACAGAGTAGGTGATAATATCAACAAGAAGTGGAGTAAGACCTGCCTCAGATAACTAACAACGTGGATAATCCAGAGTTGACTGTAACAGGATCCTGCCATGTCTTCCCTTTCCCCGTGTCATACCTTCCATTTTAAATTCTAGGGTAGATTTAAAAAGAGACCTACCTCTTGGTTTTGTTTTTGTCCACTTCTGGTGGTGTGAGGCTGCCCAATCCTGGCTTGGGCTCTAGGGTTTGGACCGGAGGCTGCATCACCTGATATAAGGCAAGGAGTTCCACAGACACAGAGATCCTATGATGCCTTTCCCCTTCAAGCTGTCTCTTACCCATCAACCAAACAACTCCTGAAACACCACCCCAACCCCCTTCCTCTAAGCCTCCCTGGGTTGATCAGAGCCCAATCTAGATACTGAGCTAGATTATTTTTGAATCTCCCTCGGCTATTCATTATACTCTCTACCCCATTATATAATTACTCTTGATCTATAGACAATGTAAATATAGCAGCCTGGCCTTGCTGTGTGTCAGCCCTTTGCATAGGACTCTATTAGTGTCTCAGACTGTAAGACCCTAAAGGGCAGAGTCTTGGGTCTCTGAAGCCTCTTTTCTTTTTTTTATTAATTATTTTTTTCAATTAAAGAAAAAAAGATCTATTTTCTCTCCTTTCCATTAAAACAAAACAACAACAAACCCCAAAACTCTTATAAAGAAATTTGCTTAGTCAAACAGAACAAATTCCTACATGGCCATGTTCAAAACATTTTGGTTTCAATCTGTACCCTGAGTCCTGTGTAATCTCTCAGTATAATAGTTAGCCCAGGACCATACACAAGTAGGCCCCCAGGGCAGCTTTTGTGAGGATGCTGACATTGATTTCTCCTGGGATAGAAAAAATGGCACCTAAAACCTTGCCTTGTCCCTATACTCTGTAAAGAGGCCCAGATGTCCTTAAATAACCTACAGTTGCTCTAAAGCAACCCTGTTAAGGGGACTTTAAACCAGAGTGATCCTCTCAGCACCAGGGAAAAAAAAGGATGGAGGAATCTCTCCCGATGTCACAGAAGCTCTTGTCAATTGACCTGCCACTCAATTCTCTCAGCTCAGCTTCAGAAATACCTTTTTCACGGTGCTCTCATTCCTCTCCTTCGTTGGTTCCTGTGCCTGAGAACTGAAAAGGGGCTTCATCACTTCTTTATCCTCCACGTGGGTCTCCTCCTCCTCTTGGGGGTTCCAGGGTTTGAGTAGAGCTCTGGAGAGTAGGACTGACGAGGATGATGGCTCAGTGAGGGTGAGTCAGGAAGGCTGAGGCTGAGGGGGAAACAAAGGCTAAAATGAGAAGAGAGGAAGACAGAGGATGGGGAATGGACAACAGCGGGCTTTAAAGAAGCAGATCAAATAAATCTCCCTGGCACCAGGGTAGCAGATGATGACCACTGATAGTCCTTGATCAGCCAATGGGCATTGACTATGGTTCTGTAGAAGGAAGATGATCATTTTCTTATTCAAGGGACATTGAAATCCTAAAATCTGAAGTTCAGGATAGTCCAGAAACCTGTGGACTAGATAGATAGACTAGAAAGCAGTCCCCCACTGGGCTGCAACCTTAGCTATGAATAGAATCCTAGTTCCCTAACTACCTTTGCCAGCAAGTCCTCTTGCACTGATACTAGAAAGAAGGGGAGAAGGACTTGAAAAACAGCTGAGCTTCCCCTCTTTCTATCTCAGATAAGGACTGGAGAGGAAAGATGCTTACCCTGGCTGCAGAGGGCTAGTGCAGAGAGATGGTTTGGGCAGCTCTGGGAGCTCTTGTGGGGTGGTTCTTGCTCCTGCTTCATAGACCTGGAGCTTTTCCCGCAGGGCAGCCACCTAGAACACAAGCACCCTCACCCATCAAAGCCCTGGATCCAGCTGGAAAGCATAAGTTTAGCACGGGAAGAGGAAAGGTAGCGAGGCCAAGGAAAGCAGGTCTTCAGCTTTGTAAGAATTCCCTCTCCCTCCCACCAGAGCCAGGAGCTCTGAAGCCCCCAGATCTTTACCTCAGCCTGAAGCTGCTGGCAAATGGTGGCATACTGGCTGATGTGACAGTTCAAGCTGATCACGTTGCTCTTGAGCTGGGAAGAGGGAAGCTGCAGTTACATAAAGGAGAGCAACCACCCACTCCGGTCCCTCCACACTGTGTTTCTGTCACCATGTCTTCGGTATGTATTCTCTCTACTTCCTATTACACTGGGATCTCCAAAAAAGTGAAGACTGTGGCTTAAGGAGGCTTTAAGCTCCTCTTGGCCACCTTATCCTTCCTTTGCCCCTATCTCACCCTAACACTCTTAATCTGGGGCCCTCACTCACACAGTCTCTCTGCACCCTATTTCCCTCTAGCTATAATAACCTCAGCCTGCCCTCATCTGCTGGGCAGGAACCCACCGAGAGCTTGATTTCCTTTGCACGGTCAGCATACTTGAGGGTGTTGTAGGTGTCCTCATAGGCCAGGGCTGAGGGACTGACAGCAGCGATCATCACTGTCCGGCAGTTCCCTCCTATCGAGTCCTTTAGCAAACGGGTCAGCTTGCTGTCTCGGTATGGCACATGGGACTTTCGGCCCTTTGAGGAAGCAGGAGGAGACACATGTATACAAGGTGGTCAAGCCAAACAAACTCCTGGTTCTGAGCAAGAAGCAGCACCTGAGAAAGACCAGTGCTCAGGCCTAGACTATAGGAGATCTGTAGTTTCTCCCCTTGCCCATCTAAACCCTAAACTCAACATAAAAGCAGTCAGGGAAGACGAGTATGCTTATCAAGGTCTGATATCAGCTCTCTCCCACCCTTCACCTGAACCACCCCAACCCTCCTACGTTCAGCTCTCACCACCATTCACCTCATGAAGATGCGGCACCTGGGGCTTACCTTTGCATCTGCCAAAGCATTGAGGACGTTGATGAGTGCCAGCAGTGAGCGGTTGATGTTGGCACCCTCCCGAAGCCGCTCCCCAGTGGCATGGGTGTTTGATGCCCTCTCTGAGCCTGCCAGATCAATCAGGCTCATCTTGGCAACCCGCAGGGTCTGGGTCAGTCCTGGCACACAGTCCTGCTGCTTCACATAGATCTAGGGGAGTCAACAAGAGTGGGTGCAACGACTAGGGAGGAGGGGAAGCAAAGAAGGATGCCAGATCCTTGCTCAGACGCCCAAGCTCCTCACCTGAAAGACCGCATGTGAGCGAGAGGATGTGGCGTTAGCATCAGTGGGGTGCTGCTTACGATTCCGGTTCCCTCTCGTCAGCATCTCCAGAAGTTGTTCAGCTGAGGCTGGCTAAGGAAATAGTACTCAGAAAGGGTTGGCAATATTGGCACAATCAGGTCCCTGGTCTCCGCCTGAATCCCTGACTAGTTCCCTAGTCCTAGGACCCCTCCTAACCACCATGGTGATGCCACCATTTCCAGCATGGGCCCATTTCCCTTTTTGAAACCCTTGGTATCCCCAGATAGTCTTCTAACTAATTCTTAGCAGGAAAGAACTGAAAGACTGAGGATTTCCCAGGAGAGATGGGACAGATTTTTCCCATCTGCCCCCTAATATCAAACCTGATGGAAGGAGAGTCCTTGAACCACAACACCCCTGTCTGGGTCCTCTCGGATAGCTAGGGCACCCTTGGGATCTAGGAGATCATATATCTGCTCATTGTATACCTGAAAAGAAAAGAAGGCCAAGAGCTGTTGGTGAAAGTGGGTGGGAAATCAGGGGTAGTAGGATGTATGAGTGCAACCAAGTAGGTGGGAGGGGAAGGGGGGTATCTCTGCCTGAGATGTTAGAAAGGGTGAGGATTAAGAATGAGCTAAAAAAAGATCACTTTAAACAGCTCTGGATAGGGTGCCTGACAGATATTAAGAGAAGTTAACTCTTTTGTGATTTTATTTCTTATAGAAGTGGGATAGGGAGAATGAAGGGCAATAAATGACCTAATGTTACCACTAGATAGTGGGGAAAACTGAGGCTGAGGCCCAAAGAAGGAAGAGGAACTTGGCTCAGGTCCTCCAGAATATCAGTGACAGATACAGAACCTGAATTCTGTTTTTCTGCCTCCTACATTTGGCCTCCTTGTGATTAAAGGAGATGGGAAATGTCTACCTCCTTGTTCAGAGGCATCAGCATTTATCTTGGTACCCAGAATGTCTTATTTCCCAAGAAAAAAGAAAGGGCAGTGGAACTGCTTAGGAGAAGTAGAATTGGATAAATGCTAGGTCAGAGGGTGGAACTTGGAGGGACAGATTAAAATGGGTGAGATTTTAAGTGTTAAAGTATGCTTTTACTTATCAGTCCTTTCCACATGGCTGCCTCCATCTGCCTTTGAGCCCCTCAGTCCCAATCACTGTCTACCACTCCCACTGCCTACCCAATACTCAAGCCATCTACTGAGAGTTAGTTATGAGGCAGGAATCCTTGCCCAATTGTAGTGGGAAAGGCCTGATTTAGGAAGGTTAGAAAGAGGTCTATCCAGGACTCTAGTTTTCCTCTTAAGTTGGGGGTAATAGGGTAAGGCTACTTCACCTCTTGGTAGCTGATGAGAACCTCATAGTGTTTCTCCTGCCGGCGGGCCTCTAGACGCTGATAAAGCTCCATCATGGTCAGGTACATGATGCCAGGGTCCCCCTCTCCTCCCAGCATGGTGTGTGTCTTCCCTGCTCCCGTGGCCCCATAGGCAAACACTGTAGGGAGTAAAGGGAGATGCCAGCAGAGTAAGGGCCAGTCCTCCTCCATCCACCCCACAGGAAAGGCTGCAGTGTTCTGAACCTTTCCAGAAGCCAATCTCCTTGCTCAGAATTCTTCCTCCCACTTCTCTCTGCACTTCCCTTCCGTTCTAATTCTCACTCTCCTTCAGGAGGGTTTCCCTGACTACCATTCTCCTGGTTACACTCACTTTGGTCAAATTTCCATTCTTTAACACTGATGTTTAGCACCACATGGCAATAATCATTGGTGAACTTCCCTATCTGCTCCTTCCTCTATCTTTTTCCCCCTAGATTATAAGTTCCCCAAAAGTAAGACTGAACAGAACCATAAACAAAGTACTTCTGTACGTAAAGCTCTGTGTTGGGTGCTACTAAGGGAAACAAAAGATGAAAGTTTCTGCTTTCAGACCCCCTGTCAAACAGATGAAACTGAACATACTCTATGCCAGTGGTCTCCAAATTTTGAGCATGCACCCCTAACATGTGTGGGTGTACTTATTTATACCTTATATGCATGTATTTCTGTACAAATAATTATGCACAATATAAAACTGACCCAAATAGAAACTTAAAAGGGAAGAGATAAAAATGAAATAATATTTGATCCTAGAGTTAACAGGGAGCCATTCAAGTTTGAGTAGCAGAGTGATACAGTCAGAAAAATCACTTCAGCAGCTGTGTAGAAGATGGATTGGAGGAGTGGGACTTAAGACAAGGAAACCTGAAATACGAGGCTATTTCAATAGTCCCCGTGAGAGGTGAGGAGGGCCTAACCTAGGTTGGGGGCTTTGGGAGCAGAGAAAAGGGGACAGAGTAAAGAGGCATTGTGAAGATATAAATTACAAGATTTGGTAACTGATTGGACATGTGGGGAGAGTGAGAGGAGTTGAGAACAACACCAAGGTTTCAAATCAGTAAGGTTCAGTGGTAAGTGTGCTGGACATGAAATCAGAGGTCCAAGGTTGGAAACCTGGGTCTGCCATTTACTAGCTTTGTGACCTTGGGCAAGTCTATGGGGCTGTTTCTTCGTTTGTAAAAATAAAAGGGTTGGACTAGATGGCCCTCCAACATCTCTTCCAGCTTTAAATCTATGATCCAACAAACCTGGGCACCTGGAAAAATGATGGTACCTCAATAGTAATATGGAAGTTCAGAAAAGTAGATTTGGGAGAAATACAATGGAATGAGATCTATGATGCTTATCAATCAATCAATCAATGTTTATTATGTACCTACTATATGCCAGGCCCTGTGCTAAGTGCTGGATATCATATATCACAACCCATTCATGCCCAATCATCCTGTCTGACTTACTCTTTCCCACCAAAAATTGGAGGAGGCAGAGCTCTTTCTTACTGACCACTGCCCTGGCTTGTAAAGCCTGCCTGATGAGAAACACCTGTTCTTCATGGATTCCCTGGATCACCATGAGGTGGTTTAGGGGGAAGAGTGTGGGGATATTAGCAGGGGGAGAGGAGGCATGTTCCACAGCGAATTTTGCTTGCATGGCTAATATAGGTGCCAGGGTTGCAGTTAAGTTGGGACCTTAGACACCCGGTCACAGCTATCAGAGATCAGCAGCAGGGAGGGATGGAGCAGGGGAGCGTTCAGTGATCATAGGTGAAGAGGATAGTATAGTGTTGGAGACAAGCCCAATATTGGCTATCACAGGGAGGGTAGGATGTGAACCATTGTCTTTCCTGTTGGTTAATCATATACCACCCTGCCTTGGGGTCATGCCATAGCCCCCACTTTAAAGACTACTGCTCTAATAGACAGAAACAATCCCTTCTTCTCAAGAAATGGATAAACAAATATAATTAATATAGTAAAAACTGAGTGCACTTTTACTGTATCTCCCTTCCCACCCCCCTACCCCAACCTAATAGCCTCTCTACACAATATTGCCTAGTTGATTACTCACCTGAGCAGTTATACCCCTGAAGAACCCCATCCAGGATGCTGTGGGTGGTGTGCTGGAATACCTCCTGTTGGGTGGCTGTCTCGGCAAAAACCCGGTCAAAGACAAACTTCAAATCTTTGCCCTTTTTCTTGGGACCATCATGGACATTGCCTCCCCACTTCAGACCAGGGAAACCTCCATCTGGCTCCTCAGGGTCAAACACCAGCATTCTCCCATCTACCACCTGAACCACAGGCCTTCGATGGCTCTCCAATTCCTTTGGAGTAGGGGGCCTCACTCGAACCACTACCTTCACTGTGCTGTCCTCCTCTGTCATCACCATGACAGTGCCTAGAAAGAAACAGGATAAGGAGAAAGATTAGGTCCCTTCTAGCTCCAAATCTAAAATTCTGTGATCAAATTACATTTCCAGGTATGAATCAGGAAAATGCTCTACTCCTTCCCCCTTCCAAATAGCTTACCATTCAGGGACCCCCATCATTCTCCCAACATTCGTTGCCTGACTCAGTTTTGGCTCTGGGATACCCTAATATGGCGCTTTGGCCCTGGCCTGGTCGATGTGTTTGCAATTCTCCATGCACAGCTTGTTTATTTCCCCCCTTACGTCTCTAAGATGCCACTCCTCCAGCTGGATTGCCCTTTCCTTCCTCATGGTGAACTCTTCTGTCTTCAAAATCTGGCTTCAAACTCGCCTCCTCAAGGAAAAATTCTTTGTCTAATTCAACCCCACTTGGATCAATCATTTACCCTGTGGCTGTTTAGCGTTCAATACTCCCTTTGTACTATACAATTTTACACTTGTTGGTATGTTGGTTTGTGCTATTCTTAAATAATGTTGTATATTCTCTGTCTAGGTCACAGAGTCAGTGGCTGCAGAGCTGAGACTACAACTCTTTGCACTATAGCTCATCTTTATTATCTTCTTTATCTGCCTCATCTTCATTATCCTTTTGTATCACTCAGGAACAGATTCCGGGCAGAATTCCTGCTTCTGCCACCCCATCACCCTACTGCCACCCAACTGCCACTAGCTCCCTGAGTGAGGCACAGCCAGACTGTAAACTCCTTGAGGTAAAAGAAACATGCTTTCTATTTCTCTTGTATTGCTGCCCCCACAACACCTAGTAAACATCTCTACAGAGACCACTAAAGAAAACAGTCTCTAAAAATAAAATAAGGAAAAAAGTCTCAAATATTCATTCACTTCAACAAGCATTTAAATGCCTGCTACTTGCAAAGCACTGTGCTAGACTTCGAGATACAAAAACAAAATGGAAAATGGTCCCTCTCATTTTTGAAGGGCCACACAATTGAGTGTGACTATAAATCCCTCAAGAACTCATCCTTCTCTTTCCCCATATTCTCTCCCCTGGCCTTTCAATCTGTCCTGTAGAGCATGGATGACAACAGGAAAGCTTCAAGGAGCTTAAATCAAAGAATATGACATTGACTAGGGTATGAGGAGGGGTAGTGGGTAGAAAAGAGAATAAGGAGATGTTCCAGGGTTCTATGGCTAGTGAAATCATTGTAAAGCAATAAAGCAGTATTGTATAGTGGAAAGTATATGGCACTTGGGGGCAGGGAAGTGGTAAGAGTTCTAGTCTCAACTCTGTTGTTAAAAAGCTGTGTGACTTTGGACAAGTTACTTAACTTCTCTGGGCCTCAACTTTCTCATCTTTAAAATGAAGAGGTCAGATTCAAAAAAATGGTTTTTCTTATTATGTAGATAGATAGGAAGGGCAGCTAGGTGGCATGATGGATAGAGCACTAAGCCTACAGTCAAGAAGACTCACCTTCCTGAGTTCAAATCCAACCTCAGACACTTACTAGCTAGCACTCTAACCTCTAGAGCTCAGCTGTTAGAGTCTGGAGACTACAAGATCACAAAGTTGGAAGGGACTTCAGACGCTACCAAGAATCCCTTCCGGGCCAGTATACTGGGCTTTTTATATTTCCAATTAGGGGGACTTCACTACCTCCTGAGACATCAACCCAGCATTCAATAGGGACGGTTCAAATGGCTGGGCAATTGTTCCTTACTTTGCAAGTAAGTATCTCTCTCTGTAGCTTCTACCCATTGTTTCTGGTTTTGCCCTCTGGGTCAAACAGAATAAATCCATTCCCTGGTCCACTTGCAGCCCTTCATATATCTGAACACGTATATTATGCCACCTTCTCAGTCTTCTCTTTTCTAAGCTACACATGCTCAGTTCCTTCAGCCAATCCTTATATGTTTTCCACTCTTCTTATCACCTGGTTGCCCTTTTCTGGACATGCTCCAGCCTATCTCTTTCCTCAAATTCACTGCGCAGAACTGAACCCAGCATTCCAGGCACATCCTGACCAAAGCCATGGTTTTTTTCATTGTTTATTTTATGTGATTGTGAGAACAGGTATGTCATGATTTTAAATATCTCCTCCCCCAAATGATGGAGGCAACACCCAGCAATAGCAACCCTATTGTATAGCTCAGTTTCCTACCTAGCAGATACACTATAGTATGCTAAGCATTACACCCTTCAAATACCACATTCCTGATACATACCCTAATTAAAAATGTTCTTTCACTCATATAGTTCCATTCCTTTCCTACAACATCATATACCGGAAAAGACGTGTCTGGCTCAAATGGCTTAAGAACCACTAAGGCTGTGCCTATTTGGAATGGGATGGAATATGCCTATTTCAGCTACCCATATGTCATATCACAGCTAAAAAGGTGCCACACTGCTACCAAATTACATACTCAAGGAATTAAAATGGACATAGTAACTGAGTGTTGGTAACCTTTATAATCCCTGTCTTCCTCTTACGTAGCCTCTCGAGGGGCTAGGAAATAGTCTGCTTGCCTAATGAGATATTTTTCCTCTCCCTGGGACAGAGCTGTGGGTATGACAATTTGTGTTGCTGTAGCCAAGCAGCTGAGGTCTTCATCCCTAATCTATATCTACTGGGGGGGGGGGGAATGTCCTGATAAGCCACCTCACTCAGGGACATCAGTTTTCCTCTCCCTGAGTCCAGGAGAACAGCTGCTGTTCCTTCTTTCCCCAGGGAGACTGTAAAGATTAATGAGAGCATGTTCGCCAAGACTGCTTTCATCTGAAACTAGAAAAAATATCTGAGCCCAAAGCACTAGGAAGATGCTGCAGTCACGTCTCATTTCTAACCCGGAGCAGCTCATTAAAACCTGCAGGCCAGTAAGCTGCAGAGATAGGGAAGAAAAGCCAGAGACACAGGTCATTTTCAGGATCATGATCTTTCCAAGCCTCCAACTGGTACAAAAGTTTATTCCTTTTCTTGACAGGCTTGGCAGTGGGAAAAGCACCAGATTTGGAGTCAGACTACCTACATTTGAATCCTGGCTCTGCCACTTACTACCTGTGTGACCTTGGACAAATCACTTTCCCTCTTCTGAAAAATGAAGGGTTTGGAAGGTGCCATCCACTCACAAATCCTATGACTCTATGAACTTTTTGTGTTCTATGGGAAACTGACACCATTCCTGTTCAACTTGGGGTCATGAAAGCACACTTCTCCCATTTATAGAGATATTATGAAAGGAAAGGGAAGACAATGGGACAAGGGAAGGGAGCTCAGTCACAAAGAAGGACCAAGCACTTTGCCCCCAGCACTTTTTAAAGTTAGTAAGAAAAAGATGTATACTTTCCCCAGGACCTACTTTATAGAAGTTCTTTAAACATTTGCTTTATTATTATTATTATTATTCTCTCATTGTTCTCTTTCCTAGTCTGGTCTAGTCAAACTTCTAGTCATCCGGGTAGGAGACCTCAGAGTTATCCATAACTCCTCACACCAAATATCCAATCAACCGCCAAGTGTTGTAGGATCTACCTCCACATCATCTCTTGGAACCATCCCCGGCTGCCCACATCCCCTTTGACCTGGCTATTGCAATAGCCTCCAAATTGTTGCCTTTCTGTCCCCCTCCTCCCATCTTTACAATCCCTCCCCTTCCTAATCCATCCTCTACACAGTGGCCAAATTGATATTCCTAAATGAGCACAAGTCTATGTCACTCCCCTACTCAATAAACTCCAGTGGCTCCCAATTACTTCTAGGATCAAGTATGAACTCCTTTGTTTGGCATTTAAAGTCCTTTACAACCTGGCTCCAACCTACCTTCAAAGCTTCATTAAATATTACTTCACTCCATGCACCTGACACACCAGCCAAATGTCCTTGTCACTGTCCTTCGTGTATTACATTGTCTCCCTTCTCTCTGTCTTTCTACTGGCTGTATCCCAAGGTTGGGCTGTATTCCTTCCTCACCCTCACCTTCTACGTGAAGCCTTTCTTGATTCCCCCCAACTGCTAATACTCTCCCTCCTACCTTTTCTTTAATTACTTCATATGTGTTCATATTCATCCTGTATATATTTATATGCCTATTTATTGTCTTCCCTATTAGGATGTAAGCTCCTTGAGAGCAGTTTCGTTTTTTGTATTTGTATCCCCAGCATTTGTGTGGCTGGCACATAGTCAGTGCTTAGTAAAGGCTTGTTGACTGATTCTTCCTTCCCCCAATTTAGGACTCTCCACCCATTAATAAATCAATAAAAATTTACTAAGAGCCTACTATGTGTCAGGCACTGATGTGGTAGCTAGGTGGCACAGTGGATAGAGCACTGGCCCTGAAGTCAGGAGGACCTGAGTTCAAATCCAGCATGAGATACTTGACACTAGCTGTATGACCCTAGGCAAGTCACTTAACCCCAATTGCCTCACCAAAAAAAAAAAAGAGCTGGGGATACAAAGAAAGGCAAAAGACAGTCCCAGGCCCTGAAGGAGCTCATAGTCTAATGGAGGAGACAAGAAGCAAAAAACTATGTAGAAACATACTTATAAACATGATAAATTGGAAATAATCAACCCAGTGAAGACAGTAGCATTAAGTGAGATCAGGAAAGGCTTCCTGTAGAAGGCCGGGTTTTATTTTGTATATACTTTTATATGTTCCTGTTCTCTCTCCCAACAGAATGCAAGGTCCCCAAGGGCAGGCACTGTTTCATTTTTGTCTTTGTACCCCTAAAGCCTGGCACACATTAGGTGTTTAATAAATGCTGGTTGACTTGGGAATCACATCCCTCCCCATCCAGATGTGACCTTTTTCAAATGCTTCCTTTTGGCAGTGTCAATTTCACTTCTACCTTGTGGATTCCAGTAGGAAAATGTAGTTTCAACCACCCTCATCCAGACCAAGGTTAATCATAGATTAAGGGCTGGGGGGGTCCTCAGAGGTCAACTAGTCATCATTTTGCAAATGAAGAAACTGAAGGCCAGTGACATCCCCAAGGACACACAGCAAGATTTGAATCCAGATGTTATGATTCCAGAACCATGGGGGGGAGGGGGAGAGGCTGCCTCATCCAGATGTGCCCAGAGGACCTGCCCCTCCTCCACCTCTCCTTCCCCCCCCAGGTGTCAGGGTGGGGGAGGGGAACGGCCGGACCTGTCAGCTTTCCAGGCTAGATCCCGAGCCACAGAGACTTGGGAGCGGGTCCGGGGCCTGCAGGGTAGGTCAGGGTCTTCTTACCCTTGTTCTGTCCCACGCCGCGGTGGCCTCCGCTGCCCTGGTCCCTCTCAGCCTCAGACAGATGGCTCCCCCCCTTCCCCTCCCCGCCCCCCACCACCCCTACGGCTCGCGCGCAAGGTCTAACTTCCTTCCCCTATCCCCACCCAGCTACTGGCGCCAACCGCCACTTCCGCTCTCGGCCGGCCCTTTCAAACCAGCCGGGCTCTCTGCTTTCGCTCTTCTCATTGGTTACTTCTCAGGACTCTGATTGGGTCATTTCGGACCAATGGGAAAAGAGTCCTTAAAGCCACAGCCGCTTCATTTTCCCCTCTCCCCTACTTCCCGGTCTTCCTCTGCACATGCGCAAAACTTGTTTTTTTCTTTTAGGCTTCCTGCAGTTGTCTCTGAAAGATGACCAAGACGAGAATGCAACGCAAAGAAGAAGGATGCAAAATTTTCCAAACTGTAAGGGGACTCCCTTTGGGGGAGCAAATCAATGACCAAAACTGTCGGATGTTCTCCAGTGCAGCTCCTGCATATATGCAGCCACTTAAAAAAAAAATTGAAAACAAAGTTCAAATCAAAGTGCAATACTTAACAGGGTAAATTGACCTCAAGTGACAGTGAATGCCGAACAGCAATTATTTAACCCCGCATGCACAAACGAGGTCAGCTCTGAGTTCACATTGGAGGCTGGGTAGAATCTCAGTGCCCATCTCGATGCAGGGGAGATGGGTCACTGTCCCGGGCACTTCAGGTTGGCTCAGGACACAGAGGAATGATGAGCTGCTGGCTGCATTGGAATACGGAGTTTGTAAACTTGAAGTTAGACCTTTGTGTAGAAGGTAAACATACCATAATATCCGTTGAATTTCTCAGTGACATTAATTTTGAAGGCCTTGTAGTATTTTGCATAAGACTCTTCTAAGAAGAAAATGATAATAACTTGATTCTGGGTGCCTGGGTGAGGGGAGGGGTTGAAGAAGAGAGACATTATGCAGTCCTGTTTCAAGAGTGGACATTTGTGGTTCCATATTCTCTTCAGGAGCAACTCCAGAAAGGAGAGTGAAGGGGAAGAGACTCTTTGGAAGGCAGATGTGTAGGCAAAGCTGTTTGTTCATTTGTTCAGTCGTGTCTGACTCTATGATTCCCAGACCATAGCACGCCAGGCCCGTCTATCCTTTACTGTCTCTCAAAGTCTGACCAAGTTCATATTTGTTGCTTCCATGACTTTATCTATCCATCTCATCCTCTGCCATCCTCTTTTTGTTTGCCTTCAGTGTTTCCCAACATCAGGGTCTTTTCCAGTGAGTCCTGTCTTCTCATTATGTGGCCAAAGTATTTAAGCTTCAGTGTCAGGATTTGACCTTCCAATGAATAGTCTACATTAATTTCTCAAAGTATTGATTGATTTGATTTCCTTGCTGTCCAAAGGACTCTCAAAAGTCTTCTCCAGCATCACAATTTGAAAGTGTTGATTCTATGGCTTCAGCTTTCTTTATAGTCCAACTCTCAGTCATACATTGCTACTGGAAAAAAACCATAGCTCTGACTGTACGGACTTTTGTCCTAAAGTTGATGTCTCTGATCTTTAGTATGCTGTCCAGATTTGAAATAGCTTTCCTTCCAAGGAGCAAGAGTCTTTTAATTTCATGGCTGCAGTTGCCATCAGCAATGATCTTCGAGTCTAGAATATAAAATCTGTCACTGCTTCTGTTTTTTCTCCTTCTATTTGCCAGGAAGTGATGGAACCAGTTGCCAAGATCTCAGGTTGTTTTTTTTTAATGTTAAGCTTCAAACCAGATTTTGTACTCTCCTCTTTCACCCTTATCAAGAAGTTTCTTAATTCTTCTTCATTTTCTGCCTTAGAGTGGTATTATCTGCATATCTGAGATTGTTGATATTTCTCCTGGCAACTTTAATTCTGTTTTTTGATTTGTCCAGCCTGGCATATCACATGATGTACTCTGCATATCAGTTAAATAAATAAGGTGATAATATATGGCCTTTCCCAATCTTAAACCAATCAATTGTTCCATGTTCAGTTCTAACTGTTGCTTCTTGACCTGAATACAGGTTCCTAAGGAGACAAGTAAGATGATCTAGTTCTCCCATCACCTTGAGGACTTGTCACATTTTGTTGTGCTCAAAGGCTTTAGTGTAGTCAATGAAACAGAAATAGATGTTTTTCTGGAACTCTCTTGCCATCGCCATAATCTATCGAATGTTGGCAATTTGGTCTCTGCTTCCCCTGCCTCTTCAAAAACCAGCCTGCTCTTTTGTTAATTCTTGGTTCACATATTGCTGAAGCCTAGCTTGCTGAATCTTTTGATTTTTATTAATATTATTATTTTTCATTTTAACCACATAAAGACAAAAAGAGAACATATCCATGTACACAACATAACATAAAAAGAGGATTCAATATAAAACTATGAAATTTCCATTTTGCACTGTTTACTTTTTTTAAAAAACTATGCAATAAGTACTACACATAATTTTCAAAGCTACTCCGCCTTTCTGTTCTTCCTTCTAAGTTTTCTTTTGTTCTCTTAAACACTTAAAATTTTTTTCCCTCCCCACCCCACCCTACAGAAAGCTACCATTAGACACAAATATGTATATAGAGCTTACAGAATCTTAAGCATAACTTGCTGACATGTGAAATGAGTATGATTGTTTGGTATTTTGAACATTCCTTGGCATTGCCCTTCTTTAGGACTGGGACATAAACTGATCTTTTCCAATCCAGTGGCCACTGTTGAGTTTTCCGAATTTGCTGACATATTGAGTACAGCACTTTAACAGCATCATCTTTTAGGATTTTAAATAGCTCAGCTGCAATTTCATCATTGTTGATGCCCGTACTCCCTAAAATCCACTTCATTCTCCAGGATGTCTGGCTCTAGATGGGTAACTATGCCATTGTGATTATTGGTGATATTAAGATCTTTCTTGTATAGTTCTTTTGTGTATTCTTGCCATCTCTTCTAAACCTCTTTTGCTCCTGTTAAGTCTCCATCATTTTTGTGTTTTATCATGCCTATTTTTGCATGATCTCTTGATATCTCTAATTTTCTAAAAGAGATTTCTTGTCCTTCCCATTCTGTTATTTTCTTCTATTTCTTTGCATTGCTCATTAAAGAAAACCTTCTTATCTTTCCTTGTTCTTTATTTTTTGGAATTCTGCATTCAGTTGGTTTTATCTCTCCCTTTCTCCTTTCCCTTTTGCTTTCTTCTTTCCTCAGCTATTTGTAAAGCCTTGTTAGCCATTTTGCTTTCTTGCTCTTTCTTTTTAAAAATTTTTTTATTAATTTATTTTGATTTATCAACAATCACTTCCATAAACTTTTGAGTTTAAAATTTTTCTCCCCCTCTTTCCTCCCCTCCCTCCCCAAGACGGCCAATCTGATATAGGTTTTACATATACATTCCTATTAAACATATTTTCACATTAGTCATGTTGTAAGGAAGAATTAGAACCAATAGGAGGAACCACAAGAAAGAAGAAACAAAACAAAACAGAAGGGAAAATATTAACTGAGGAAATAGTATGTTTCAATCTCCATAGTTCTTTCTTTGGATGTGGATAGCATTTTCCATCGTGAGACTTTTGGAGATGTCTTGCATTGCTGGGAGGGCTAATTCTTTTTTTTTTTTTTGCTTAGGCAGTGGGGTTAAGTGACTTGCCCAGGGTCACGCAGCTAGTAAGTGTTATGTGTCTGAGGCGGGTTTGAACTCAGGTCCTCCTGAATCCAGGGCTGGTGCTCTATCCACTGCGCCACCTAGGTGCCCCTGGGAGGGCTAATTCTATCAAAGTTAGTTATTGCACAACGTGGCTGTTACTATATACAACGTTCTCCTGGTTCTACTCACTTCACTCAGCTTCAGTCCATACAAGTCTTTCCAAATTTTCTGAAGTCCACCTGCTCATCATTTCTTATAGTACAATAGTATTCCATTACATTCCTATACCACTACTTGTTCAGCCATTCCCCAATTGACGGGCATCCCCTTAGTTTCCAATTCTTTGCCACCACAAAAAGCTGCTATAAATATTTTTGTACATGTGGGTCCTTTTCCCATTTGTAAGATCTCTTTGGGATACGGCCCTAGAAATGCTATTGCTGGATCAAAGGGTATGTACATTTTTATAGCCCTTTGGGCATAGTTCTAAATTGCTCTCCAAAATGGTTGGATCACTTCACAACTCCACCAACAATGCATTAGTGTTTCAATTTTCCCACATATTCTCCAACATTTATCATTTACCTGTTTTGTCATGTTGGCCAATCTGATAGGTGTGATGTGGTATCTCAGAGTTTTTTTGATTTGCTTTTCTCTAATCAATAGTGATTTAGAGCATTTTTTCATATGACTATAGATAGCTTTAATTTCTTCATCTGAGAACTGCCTGTTCATATCCTTTGACCATTTATCAATTGGGGAATGACTTGTATTCTTATGAATTTGCCTCAGTTGTCTGTATATTTTAGAAATGACACCCTTATCAGAGACACTGGTTGTAAAAACTCCCAGTTTTCTGCTTCCCTCCTAATCTTGGTTGCATTTGCTTTGTTTGTGCAAACACTTTTCAATTTAATGTAATCAAAATTATCCATTTTGCATTTCATAATGTTCTCTGTCTCCTGTTTGGTCATAAATTCTTCTGTTCTCCATAAACCTGACAGGTAAACTATTCCTTGCTCTCCCAGTTTGCTTATAGTATCAGCCTTTATATCTAAATCATGAACCCAGTTTGACTTTATTTTGGTATGTGATGTGAGATTTTGGTCTATGCCTAGTTTCTGCCATACTTTTTTCCAGTTTTCCCAGCAGTTTTTGTCAAGTAGTCTTGCTCTTCTTTTTCTTGGGGTGTTTTGTTGCTGCCTCCTGTACAATATTACAAATCTCTGTCCATAGTTCTTCAGATACTCTATCTACCAGATCTAATTCCTTAAATGTGTTCGTTACTTCTACTTCATATTCATAAGTTATTTAGGTCATACCTATACAATCTGATGGTTTTTCCCTGCCTTCTTCAATTTAAGTCTGAATTTTGCAATAAGAAACTTATGATCTAAGCAGCAGTCAGCTCTAGGTCCTGTTCTAACTAACTGT